GAGTTGAACTCTTCTGCCATCTAGTGCTGTAGTAACACAGTACTTCACAACATGCCTAGGGATTTTCTTTGGATGAGGAAGATGTCATTCAGGCCCCAGCCTCTCCTCTCTAACGTTCCCATAATTCTTCCCAAATATCCCACCGGCAAAAGGCAGCTAAGATACAGTTTTTCAGAAACCTCAGTCTCCCCTGCTCCCAGTGCCCCTCCTGTGTTTCTCTTATTTCTGGAGCATTCCAAAGCCACAGGTACTTAGGCTTTTAGATCAATTCTAAGAGTTGGGGCTTGAGTTCGGCTAGTGCACAGTCATTTTACAGATGCAAAACTCACACAGCAAGCTAGTGGCAGGGCAAGCAGTGACGTTCTGGATTTAGCTCCCAAAGAAGCACCTCTTCCAAGGTCACCTTGGAGGTGACAGTCCCTCTGGCAAAGGAGCTGGCTCCTTCATTGGTTAATCCTGGGAGCACTCCCAGGAGCTTCCCAAGCCTGAACCCCGCCCAGGATCCCCAGCATCAGGGCCGCAGTGCCTCAGGTCTATGGCTGTCCTCCGAGACCCTGCAGTGTCCCTGCTGGGCAGACTCCACATGGCACCCACCTTTAGCTTCGTGTTTTCCTGTAGCTCATCCACCGCAGCTGCCCCATTGCCTGGCTGCAAACAGGGACAGGAATCACGAGATGTTTGGAGAGACCCTTACTCTCCCTCTCTACTTCCCTTTCTCTCCGGGGAACCCTCAGGTGGGAACACAGAAACACACCCAAAGATAACCTGCTCTCAGAAGATGTTTTACCATGTCCAAACCCCAGCCTGGCCTTTCACGGTCTGGCTTCCCTCTGCACACTGTAGGCCCAGTCAAATGTGTCCACTGTCTACAGTCCAGTAACACCAACTGTCTTTCAGTCCCTCTTTACCCACTTTGAAAACCTCATCACGGGGCCCCTCCTCCCATGCTTGGCACCCTCCTTCCCTCACTCCCAATATTTCAGGTCTCCATTTACACGTCACCTTCCTCTGGGGAGCTAAGGTGTTGTCTCATTCTCTTTTATAGATTTCTGTTCTTTTCCTCCATAGCGCTTTCCTCAATTTGTGTGTTAACAAACATTGCTAACATTGTTAACAAACATACAAATAAATTAACTGGCCCCTAGCGTCTTGAAGGCAGATTGCCTACTTCATTTGCCACTGTGTGTCTAGCACAAAAACACTCTTGGGCACTTCACAAGATTCAATAAATATTTGTTGAATGAGGCATGAATGAACTGTCCTCTAACTGTCCCCAATCCATTCCAACTGCTGGACCCTTGTTCACGACTCTTCTCTCGGCTTAAAATGCCTTCTCCATTCCTCTATGTCTACCAGTTTTTCAGAAAATTCAGGGTGAATTCTTCTACAAAGCTTTCCTGAATGACCCCTTCTACTCCCACCCTCACTCCAGCTCCCTATGATACCTCTCTCCTCAAAAGCTGTATAACAACAGTGAGCACACTTTTTTGTTACCAAAATCTGGCTCTATGATCGAGTAAGCACTCAGGTCCTGGGGAAAGCTGCAGGGCAGCCAGCTGGGAAATGAGACAGCCCTAGAAGAATCTAAGATGAAGAATCATTAAACCCACAGTACTTATTGTCTGGACCACTAGCCTTCTACCTTGCATTTACTGCTTTATAGTGCCATTTGAACTTTTAAAAGAATCATTTTTTAACTTTTGACCTATGTCAGTTATTTACCCAGCTAGATGCAATTTTTTTTTGAACTTTCAATACAGTCATCTCTGTTCCCCTAACCTGCAGCACATTTCTTGTACATAGTAGGTGCTCACTAAAGGCGAGCTGAACGAGTAGCTATCCCTAAGTAGCTTCTAGTGCTATCTTCAGGCAACATGGTCACCAATAGTTGCCCCCCCAAAACTGTCTTCACCTCCCCACTCTGGCCTCTGTGGCCAGAACTAGAACTGGACGTTCTATACTCTGTCTCTGTTTCAACTCAGAAAATAAAGAAAATAGTGCCTGAGCCAGGGCTCCTCACCCTCCCATCCACCCAATTTGTTCATTCATTCAGTTCTTATTTCCCCGAGCACCTGCTGTTTATAGGTCAGTGTGCTAGTGCTGTTGGGATACGAAGATGTTGCGGACACGTGTTCTATGTCCAGAAAGGAATTGGAACCAATGCTGACAAAGCAGAACGTGGTTCAAGAAATGAAAAGCGTAGATGAAGGTGTAGTGGTGGGAGAGACAAGAAGGCTTCCTGAAGTAGGTAGAATTTGAGTAAGCTTTGAAGGATGGGGGAGGTTTGAATGCTGGACGTAGATTGCTGAATGAATTAAATAAACAGATGGATGAACCAATGAATATGCAAATGAATGAAATAGAGCAGAAATAACCCATCTGCATATGAAGGGAACACTGCTGATTTTGTGAACAAATCTTCCGACTCTTTCATGACACTCGGGTAAGTTTACTGGCATACTGGAGGCTTTGGCACCAACCCCTGCTGGCCCAGCCATCTCACGTTTATCATGTCCAACCCTAACCCATTGAGTTTCTGGAGGCAAAAAACTGTGAGGAGCCAGGCTGCCCTTTGGGGTAGCTAGTTCTGTCCACAGAGGGGCAGGAGAGATTGACTTTTGCCCCGTGATGCACATGCCTAATGATTTTTCTGCTATCAGATGTACTCAAGCCAAAATATTTCTCTATGAGTTCATCATTCTTTGCACCCATCAGTATCTTCCGAGTTCAGCATGTACTTCTAATTTTCTGAAGCCCTTCACATTCGCTTTCTCATCCAAGACTACTAACTCCATGAAGCAGGCAAGGTTAGTATTATTACTGCTCTTTGATAGATGAGAAAACAGAGATACAGAAAGAGTGTGTCACTTGCCCACACTCACAAAGACAGTGTCAGAACTCTGATCTCCTGATCCCCATTAGATGTTGTTGTTGTTGTTGTTTACTAACTCATTTCTTTTCCCAAGCATAAATAAGGTAACGAGGTAAAATCTCTACTCCCTAGTGGCTCTGTTTTAAATTATTGACATTTTAGGTAAATGGACATGAATGTTCATCTCCATTTAGATGTGGATGATGGGTCTGTTATGGGTAGCAGTCCTGGCAAGTAGGTGCTTTCAGAATATGCCCTTAGTACCAACACATTTCACATCCACCTCTGACCCCAATCCATTGCCCCTCCTCTTTCTTCAGCCTCATCACCCCACCTTCTCCTTCTCCTCATGAAAATTAGCAAAGGGGCTGAGGAAACCAAAGAGGATGTTTTCCTGCCAGCCAAAGCCCCCAGCACCTGTGATGTATCTTGCTGAGGTTGAGCAGTGGGATCCCTTGTAGCCATTCATGGGAACCTGTGATGGCAAATATGGCAGTCCCTCAGGGGGCTCCCCCTCCTGACTTCCAGTTTCTATCTCCCATTGATGTAGCAGTTAATCACTGACCTATCGCCTTCTAGACCATCCATGACACATTTCCTGAACCACATATTTTAGTGTGTGTTTTTTTTTAGCATTCATTTAACAAATACTTACTGAATCCCTGGTCTGAGTCCTGCCTTCACCCAGGTTATACTCTAATAGGGGGCTCTTCACACTAGCCCTTTCCTGAGTACAGTCTTGCACTCTGATCCACTCATTTGCCTAAGCTGGAAACCCAGAAGTCTACCTGAATTCCTCCCTCTCCTTCACAGCCCACATCCAATTAGAGGTCAGACCTAGTTTCTTTCTTTTTTTTTTTTTTTAGATTTTTATTTATTTATTTGACAGAAAGAGAGACAGTGAGAGCAGGAACACAAGCAGGGGGAGTGGGAGAGGGAGGGAGAAGCAGGCTTCCCACCGAGCAGGGAGCCTGACGCGGGGCTCCATCCTAGGACCCTGGGATCATGACCTGAGCCGAAGGCAGACGCCCAACGACTGAGCCACCCAGGCGCCCCAGACCTAGTTTCTAAAAGTCCTCAAATTTCACCTCATCTCTCCATTCTCCCGCCTACAGTCCTGCAAAACCCCCCTGACTCCTGATTATTCCTCTTCTAGTTCATTCTCTATCCCTCAGCCAGAGTGATTTTCTAAACAAAGCACAAATCATGTCCCTCCCCCACACCCTAGGGGCTTACTATCCTCACAAGGGAGTCCAGACTCCTTACCTGAGCACCTATCAGCCTCCTCTTACCTCTAGTCCAGCACTGTCCAAGAGAAATAGAATGCAAGTCACACACGTAATTTTAACTATTTTAGTAGCCACATTTTTTAACGTAAAAGAAACACGTGAAATTAGTTTGAATAATATACTTTAACCCAATATACTAAAAATATTATAATTCAACATATAATTACTATAAAAATATCAATGAGCTATTTTGCCCTTTTTTTCATACTAAGCCTTTGAAACCCACTGTGTATTTTATTTTATTATTTATTTATTTATTTATTTATTTTTAAAGATTTTATTTATTTATTTGACAGAGAGATAGACAGAAGAGCACAAGCAGAGGGAGTGGCAGAGGGAGAGTGGAGAAGCAGGCTCTGCACTGAGCAGGGAACCCGATGCAGGACTCGATCCCAGGACCCTGAGATCATGACCTGAGCCGAAGGCAGACGCTTAACCATCTGAGCCACCCAGGCGCCCCCCACTGTATATTTTATACTTACAGCATATCTCAGTTCAGATTAGCCCCATTTCAAGAGCTGAGTAGCTCCATGTAGGTAGTGGTCACCATACCGGACAGTGCAGCTATGATCTCATGGTGTCTCATTCCCTTGGCCTCTCCACAAGCCCAGGAGAGTTCTTACCCCTTCTTCAGTCAGCCACCCCCTGCTTGTTCTTCAAGATTCTGCTGAACATCGCCTCCCGGAGGAAGCCTTCCCTGACTCTCTGGTCTGCTGAGATGTCCACTCTCTGCAGTACTAAATCCCTTAGCGCTTTCCTATACCATTACACATCAATTTTATTTATCTGTCTTCCCCACTGAGGAGGATTTACCATGGAGCCGGTGAAGCTTAATTTCCAAGGTCCATGTCTCCCCTACATAAACACTTTACAAGACCTTGTATTTGATTTTCGTACCAATAGTTTTATATTCTTTTTCTTAAAGAGTGTCACGCCCCACAAAATCTGGATCAACTCCCACTCTGCTGAGACTGAGCTCGTCCAGGACTTGGGACTGTGCCTTTTTTCTCATTGTAACCCCAGACCCTACACGGGCCTCATATAAAGGGATTCAATAAATGTTTGCTGAATGAATCAACACTGGAGTTCTTTAGGGCACAAACCTAGGGCCTCCCCCTCCCACCCCCCACTCTCTCTCTCAACTGGTCCTCGATTTTAATTATCACACATTGTCAGTGACTCACAAATTTCTATTTCTAGCCCAGACCTTGATTCTGAGCTTTAGGCCCATGTAGGCAACTGCTTCCTGGACATACCCACCTGGAGGTGACATAGCCACACACACTCATCATTCCTGAGCGGAAAGTCTTGAGTCTCCCTAAACCTGTTCTTCCTTGGGTCTTCCCTTTTGCACTGGGTGGGACCACCATCTACCCTGCTGCTCAAGCCGAAATCCTGGCAGCATCCTTGACTTCACCTGCTGTCTCACCCTCACATCCACTTCATCACCAGTCCAGATGATCCTGCCTTCAAAACGTCTCTTAAAG